CTGTATTCTTCACCAGTTTCTCACACTTTGCATAATCTAACATAATCTCTTCCTCTGCTTCTATTTTGCCATTGTTTCTCCCAATACCATTTTAACTTTTCTCCTTTGAGGGTAAAATCACCATACTGAGGGCATGCTTATTGTATATAACTTTCTGGTTTGTTTTACATTTTATTTAACCACAAATATAATTCAGAAGATTAAAGGGGACAAATTAATACTTAGCACAGTATGTTATTTTCTAGGCTGTGTCTCATGCTATTATTATTGCTAATTATACTACTTTAGCTAACACGACATAATTGTTCTTATCAGTTGTTCGTCCTGGTATTTCACGACTGAGGTTGTTTAAGAGTCAAACAATACTACAGGACAGTGCCAAGGAAGCAGCAGCTGGGTCAAACAGGCAGCAAATTTCAGCCTCAATAAATTGAAGAAGTAGGATCTTGCAACAAGCTCAAACCCAGAAGCCAGCTACAGCTGGAAGGCCTCTCTGGAAAGTAGTTGTTTCCTAAATGTTCTAAATACTAGCAATGAAGTGACCTGCCATAAGCAATTCATAAGCATCAATCTAGAAATTAAACTTTAAAACATAAGAAGAAACATAAGCAAGAAACGACTCCCGATTTCCAGCTCACCAAAGGCAAACCCAGGAGACAATGGGGTGGGACAACTTGAAAGTTACCCATCTGGACTATCTAAAGTGGTAGCAGTGGAAGTCACAAAGCAGATAAATGAGGCTCTAGAAAAAAATCAAATCAGAAATCATCTCTCAGATAAATACAGAGATAGTGACCATAACGAAAGACATGGTTAGTGACTCTGGACCAGATACAGTTTTAAAAAATACAGGGGCTTAGGAAAATGATGGAAATCATGAATGTACAACATAGAAAGAGATGAAATCCATGAAACAGATTCAAATAGATATCCAGATTAAATTTTCCATTGAAAGTATATACAGGGGGGGCTGGGGAGATGGCTCAGTGGAATAAGCGCTTCCCTGGCAAGCACAAGGGTCTGAGTTCAATCCCCAGTTCTGCCAAAAAAAAAAAAAGAGAGACAAGGAGAGCTATAACTCTATGAATACCAACAGAATGAACCCACCAGGCTAGGCAAGTAATTAAGCAGAGAGAGAAAAAGATAGCAACAGGAAGATAACATGACAAAGATAACTCAATACATATCAGTTATAATCACCAACATAAATGGTGTCAATTCACCAATCAAAAGAAACAGACTAGGAGAATGAATCAAAAAGCAAGGGTCAACAATATGCTGTATACAAAAAACACATTTAATTAAAAAAAAAATCATAGACCAAAAGCCAAAGGATAGAAGACAATATTTCACATGGAACACAGAAAAAAGCAGAGGCAGGTGGTCTTATCTGTAAACAAACTAGATTTCAAGCCAAAACTGATTAAAAGAGGCTAAACTATATTCCTTGGCCTTTTTTGAGACAGGGTCTCATAAAGTGATCCCAGCTGCCCTTAAACTTGCTATCTGCTTCAGCATCCCAGGTAGGCAGGATACAAGTGCACCCGATTGCACCCAGCCAAGTTGTAGTTCTTGGTAAAATGCAGTGCTAAGTTTGAGCCAACAGGTACAAATTGGTTTGTGCAAGTCACAGCGCTGCACTCTGCTGATACACAAGGCCTCTGCACCTTCCACAGCCACTCTCAAGAGGCTCAAAGGGCCAGCCAGATAGTTCAGAGGATTAAAGCACCTGCTTAGGCAGACGAAGAGGCTGGGAGTTTGATCCCTGGCCTGTGTGCCTGTCCCACACCCAGTGTGCAGTGAGCCGGCAAATGGGACTGAGTGTAGCGGCACCACAGAAGAGCAAAGGTGTTCCACGTTCTCAAGGTCTTACCAAATTCATCAGGGAGATGCTGGGCTTGGTGGCACACACCTGTAATTCCCAGCACCTGGGAGGCTGAGGCATGAGGATCATCATGATTTTGAGGCCAGTCTAGGCTACACATTGGGTCCAGGCTAGTCTAAACTACACAGCAAGACCTTGTCTCCAAAAACAAGCAAAACAATAGTGCTTGCCTGCCAAGAGCAAGGGCCTGAGTTCAATCCCCAGTTCTGGAAAAAAAAAAAGCAAAACAAGACAAAACACTCAAATTGAGCAGGAAGTATTACTGGGTTCCAATTGGGCTTTCTTCTCTAAAAGACAGAAGATTATACTACAGTCATTTGTGATCATCCTTTCCTTTTTTCTTATTCTTTTTTACTGATAACTAGTATTTCAAACAATGTAGAAGAGAAGTGTGTTTCCTTTAGGTATATTATTTTACACCAAAATTTTATAAGAAAAGCATTTTGTTTGTTTGTTTGTTTCTTTCTTTCTTTCTTTCTTTCTTTCTTTCTATGAGTGTGTGTGTGTGTGTGTGTGTGGCCAGCTCAGCCCACCAGGGGGCGGGGCTGGCTGGCATGTGGTACTGGGGGATTGAACCGCGGTCCCTGTGCTTTGTTTAGCTTAGCTTGTTCTAAGTAGGTGCTTTAGACCACTGAGCCATCTCACCAGCCCTTGTTTCTAATATTTTATGATTTACATAAAGGAAGTCAAGAGTCAGTGACTCTGGTGGACATCTGTATTGTATCAAGGATGACGACACTGTGTCAGTGACGTGTGGGACAAAGCTGGAGCACAGTCCTGCTGTCCTTGGCTGCGGCGTCTCTGATGACAGGGCAGCTCTAGAAGCTTGCTGCAGCTCCCACTCACCTGGCGTCCACCTCACCTCCAGCATGCATGAGGAAAGAGCCATCGGGCTGCTTCAGTGAGTACAGGTACTGGAGCAGCTTCTCCCTGTGAAATGGCAGGGCGGGGTGGAAGAAGGCAACGGTCAGTGCAGGGCCGCAAGGGAGCCTTCCGAGCCCTGGGCCCCGCTGGCTGCGGCTGTACCTGTTGATGATGTCGTACGCCTCCTCTGTGCCGATGATGCACAGTGCGTTGACGGCTGCGTACGTGGGTGCCAGGTGTGGGTGCTGACCGGGTCCCCCTCCAAAGCCACCGTCTGGGCTCTGGCATAGCTCCAGAAACTGACACACACTAGGCACATGGCCAAAGGGAAGGACAAAGTTGAGAGCATTAATTTCAAAGCAGCAAATTCCCATCAAAGTCCACATCTTTGCAATTATCTCCCCTCCCTCAGAAGGAAAAATAATCTGCCCCCCACAAAGTGTTGACTCTCTCTAGTTTGTACAGTTTGTACAGTTCCTGCATCTAACCACCACAGCGCAAGGCTGGGAAGTAAGGGGCTTCCAGACTGAGCTTTTCTTCGCCTTCTCACTGCACTTGCAGCCCTGGGTCTGGGGTACCAGTCTGCTTCCTCTGGGGACCTCACAGCCTCTGGATGGTGCTTAGCACCTAGTGGGCATCTGCCTCCTTCCCCACAGCCATCGCCTCAGCCCCCTGCGGAGGGCTCCCCAGGCACACAGAGACACCTCTCGAGCCCAGCCGCTGCTGCGTGTGCAGCGGTGCTGCTTCCTGTCACCTCTCCAGAAAGAAGCTCACCTCTGCCCTGGGGAGAAGGAGAGGCTCAAAGCGTGCTCAGTGACAGCGGCAGTGCCGCAGGAGCACAGGTGACACACATAAGAGAACACCGCAGTCTGTGGGGTCCTACGGGGGCTTTCACATCAATCCAAAGGGGCTCCTGTGTCCTCACGGAGGAGAACTGTTTAGGGAGGGTTTGCCTCTGAGCATGCCACCAAGATTTACATTCCTGCTTTAGGACATCAAGAGAGCCCCCACCTAGGGGCCGGGGAGATGGCTCAGTAGAATAAGTGCTTGCCTGGCAAGCGCAAGGGCCTGAGTTCAATCCCCGGTTCCACAAAAAAAAAAAAAAAAAAAAAAAAAAGAGCCCCTAACTGGCCTCAAACTTTCGATCCTCTGCCTCAGCCTCTGAAGTGCTGGCTTAATGGCGATTAGGGGCTTCTTTTCTGAGCCCTTTCATCTCATTTCTAGTCACCACTGCCAGGGAGTCGATACAGGGTAAGCTCTATGAAGACCGAAGCCCACTGGGGGTTCCTCACATCCTATCTGATTACTTCATTTCAGACCTTTGAGCTTTGGGACAAGGACAGCAACAGAAAATGCTCCCATCTTGCCACTTCAGGTTTGAAATCTCACAGGGTAAGACAATACCCGTTTACTTCTATTTAAACGTAAAATTTAATTATAGGAAACACAAGGATGGAAACTGAGGTTGACAGACAACCAAGACATTCTTGGCACATTTTTAAAATAGATTATTCCAACATATTTTCCAAATCATCAGGGATTACACTACTTCCCAGACAAATAGCTAGTAAGCTCAAATCCTAACAAGGTTGGCTACAATAGCCTACTAAGCTTTCTCTACTACAAAAGCAAAAGGTTGAGATGATACAATAGTAGTTCAGTATAGAGGATTTCCCTAGTTTGCATACAGTATGGGTTTGATCCTCAGCAACATAAAACAACAAACTGCATTTTTTAAGTGAAGAAAGAAAAAAGTCACCTAGGCATTCCCTTCCCTTCCCCAGCACCCAGGAAGGAACTGTGCTGAAGGCAACACTCCTGACCCAGCGGTCTGAAGTTGGGTGTGACTAAGGATCTGAATGTACCGGACACCTCGGTAGGGCCCAGCCCCAGAGGTGAGCACCTCAGCTGACCCGCACCATCCCACCTTCCCGGGCTTGCTGGGGAGCTGGGGGCAGGGCTCGCGACCTCACTTCCGCATACAGAAAGTTCTGATCCCAGGCTTCCCAGCTTGCAACTTCAGGAGCTGCCAGAGTGACCACGAGGCCACCAGCTGTCTTTAGTAGACTTAGCAGCACTGAGAACCAGAATGTGAATGGAATTTCAATCTATCAAAAGGGAGAGAATAACTTAAGAGACCAAAAATTCACCAACTAATAATGAAAAAATTACAAGCAGGAAATACTGTGTAAACAAGCATGGCCTGCTTTGGACTCCTTCAGAGATACTACCGCCTGTGCGTCTTAGATGTGGCCGAGGATCAGCTTTCTTTGACGTTAGCAATGCTCTTCCGATTCTAGGCTCCGCAACAATCACCAGCAAAGTGGGAAACTATCTTTGGAGATCAGGGATTTTCAAACCCACATGGTGTCTTGTTACAATCACAGGAGCACTAATAAGGAATATACAGGCCTGGCCTCCTAAAGTCAGAAAGAGCCCAGACTTCACTTGGGTGCTGACCAATCCAGATGGGTGGGCTTGTGCAAGCCAATAATTCTAGCACTCTAGGAAGCTGAGGCAGGAGCACGCCAAGTTCATGCCCAGCCTGGCTCATTTAGTAACTCAGTCAGACCTTGTCTCAAGGTAAAAAATAAAAAAAGGCTAGAGATATTACTACTTAGAGATAAAAATGCAAAGGGCCTGGGCTCAATCCCCAGTAGTCACACACACCAAACCCAAACCAAAAAGCCCAGTATCACAGCCATGCCTAATATGGGTTAAATCAGAACCCCTGAGGACGCACTCAGGTAAGAGGACGGAGCTCAAAGCAAGAATGTCAGTGACTTACTGTCATCCTTAAAGTGGTTTACCTAGACTTTCAGGTAATGGCTGAAGACTATTCTGAAGTGGTTGGTTCTGGACAAGACTGTCACCAATGAGGATGGAGTGGAGAACCCAAAAGTATATGTAAGCCTGGTGTGGTGATGGGCACCTCTAATTCCAGCACTCAGGAGGCTGAGGCAGAAAGCTGGCAAACCTGAGCCCAGCCTGCCCAACTTGTGAGACCCTGTCTCAAAATTAAAAATTTTTAAAAATACGGGGCTGGAGATATAGCTCATTATGAAGGCCCTGGGTTTAATCCCCCATACTGAAAAAAAAAAAAGTATGCATAAGAAGCAAATAATATAAAACAGAGAGATAAATTGGAGTCCAGAATAAAACAAATGAAACAAGAATATATATATATATATAGATATAGATATATATCATATATATATATATATATATTTATCACTACAAAATGGTTTATTTATTTATTTATTTTTGGCAGAGCCAGGGATTGAACTCAGGCCCTTGCGCTTGCCAGGGAAGCGCTTATTCCACTGAGCCATCTCCCTAGCCCTGGTTCATTTAATTTATATCCTTCTTTTTTGTTTAGTTTTGTCAGAAATGAGTATTCCATTGTCATTTAAATATTGTAAGTGTATGAATTCAGCAAAATAATCCAATATAGTCCAGTAGTCCATAATAGTAGTGGGTTATCCGTAGGACTGGCAATGTCAGAAGTTGTTGACTTGAGCCTTTTACAACTCAGCATATTAATGTGGTTTTACTATACAGCTACTTTCTCTTAATTCAGTAAGAAAGATTTGTACTAATAGTGTTTAGACAGGATATCATGTCTGCATCTTGTACTATGAATAACTACTACAAAGACAATAAGCAATGTATTAATTATTGTAACTGTCCTACTAACCTGTTTTGAAACTGTCTCATTGCTATTTGTTTTTCAATAAAATTTTTAAAAAAGAAAGAACAAGTGCTAAATAATAAACGTAAGGCAGGGATGGAGAATGGTAAAAGCATATAAATACAAGTGGAAAATGACTAGGAACACGGCAGGAAAGGACCAGAGATTAGAGTCCCTGAGGAGTTAAGAGTCAGTAACAAAAGCACGCTGACTTTGTTCATAGTACTAGGGACTGAACTCAGGACTCTGAGACAAGTACCCTGCCAGAGAGCTACAACACTAACCCCTGTTATTTTACTTTGAGATTGGTTCTCACTAGATTGCCCACATTGGCCCTGAATGGCCAATTCTGCCTCAGTTTCCCAAGTACAGCAGCTGGAATTACAGGTGTGGGGCACTATGCCTGGCAAAATATCAAACAGACGGGGCCTGATCATTAGCTCAGTTGTTTAAGCACCTGCTTAAACAAAGCAGTCAGGCTCAGGATGCTATGGTTCGATTCCCAGATCCTCAAGCCTCAAGCCAAACCAAACCTGCCCTGAATGCATGCTGAGGCTGCCAAAAAAAAATAAAATAAAATAAAAAATCCTTCTGCCTTTGGGGGCCGGGGAGATGGCTCAGTGGAATAAGTGCTTCCCTGGCAAGCGCAAGGGCCTGAGTTCAATCCCAGGTTCCGCAAAAAAAGAAAGAAAAGAAAGAAAAATCAAACAACCAACCAAACCAAACCAAAACAACACACTATTCACAGGCATCATAACCATAGCATTATTCAGAATTATATCTGGCCTATTTTTACACAAAGTGAGTCCTCATTAGAGTTATAAAATTGGCCAACTATAAAAAAGTGGAAAAAATATTAAAAGGCTTAATAGTACAGACAACTACAGTGAAAAGCTACCCAGAAAAATATTTCATGTATACATAGGATAACTACAAAAAAACTTTTTTTTTTTTTTTTTTTTTTTTGCAGAGCTAGGGATTGAACTCAAGCCCTTGAGCTTGCCAGGCAAGCACTTATTCAACTGAGCTATCTTCCCAGCCCCCAAAAAACTTTTGAGTGACAAAACTGAGGCTAATCTTGGCAAAAAGAATTCTGGTTAGATTTGAGAAAATTTCAGCACTGGTTTTACAGCCCTGGTGTACCACGCAGTACGGTACTTGCCTAGCATGCACAGGACCCTGGGCTTAATCCTCAGCTCCACAAAAGAGAGAAGAAAATATATATATATTCATCCCACAATAGGCTACCACAGACAGACTTAAAGTCTAAATAATTCTGAGGATTTCTAATAGTTGTAGAGGAGCAGTCAGTCCTGAACAGGAGTAGAAGCAAACACAAGAGGTTTGGGTGCCGGGTTTCCATCTGCCCTACCATGCAACAGCTGCATCCCAACACAGAGAGGCCAGGCTTGCCCTAGGTGAAGGCCAACAAGGGACAGGTAAAAGGCAGCTTGTTCCAGAGACTGGCACTGCGCAGACCTCTGAGCACAGAGGGTCCTCTGGGCAACAGCTGCTTTGAAGTCCAGGTTGGTTCTGAAGAGGGAGGTGTCTCACCCTTGGCCTGACCGACACAAGCGGCTGAGCTGTGCTCTGCTGCAGGGACTGTCATGAAGAGGGGATCCAAAACACCTCTGGTCTGTGCCCCAGGCACCAGCACAAGGCCTGCAGACAAGGGGTAAGGGTGTCTCTACTGAAAGCCAAGGAAACGGATGGGGTATACTGTAACGTAAGCAGTAAAAAGAAAAATACTCAAGGGATTACTTATTCCTCTAAAGGGAAATTAAAAGGCATTAAACAGCAAACATTGGAATTTATCTCTGGAAAAATCTCTATACGCTCAAAAATTCTAAAATGGTTTTCAAGTTAAAGACAATTTTTAACTCTTACAGAAACTATAAACCTAACTTTAACAGCACCACGGAGTCCCTGTGGTTTTCACTTTGCTCTGTATTTTCAGTACCGCAGCTTTTAATAACAAAGCATCTTTACATGGAGCTTCTTCCAGTGCGAAAATCATGAAGCAAAGTAAATGTCAGATTCAAAATATTAGTTCATTTTTTTTGTATATGAACATGTAAGTGTCCATACATAATCTTTCAAGAGAAGCAAGCTAAATTTCTCTCTGTTTCTCCTTTGGAACGTCTGACAGCAGCAGCAGTCAAGACCTGGCCTTGCTGGCTTCACAGATGCTGACACAAGTGACGTTGCCCACTAGAGGGAACTCAGCGTGTCACACTTTCCCCAGGCAAACAGGAGCACAAGAGTGAACAAAACAGGGAAGCAGAGAAGCTCCCATGTACGTGCAGAGTGTGTGCAGCGAAGGCCAGGTGGGGCAGGGAAGAGGGCAGGGAGGTGCACAAGTCCAGAGCCAGCCTGCCTCGCCACCACCTCGACCTGTGTTTGAAAGGGAAAAAAAGATCACATTTCAAAGCACTCTTTTTCCCTGAGCAAACTAAATCAAAAGGCAATATCCTGGGGCTGGGGATTTGGTTCAGCGGTAGAATCCTTATCTAGCAAGCTGGAAGCCCTGGGTTTGGTCCTCGGTAACCAAAAACAAAAAATAAATCTTCCCCTAAAAGACAATTCAACCAAAAAAATACAGAAGAAAAATGGGGGGGGGGGATATCCTATTTCAGGTAGTCTAAAAGAGAAAATTCCTCTCATTGCTACTTGTTTCTCAATAAAATTATGGGAAAAAATTAAAAATAAAAGAGAAAATTCCCCAAAGTTCTATAAAAGTCACTAAGATTACTCAGAATCTAGGTAGAGTCTATTTCCGGATAGGTCAGGGCTGTTTGGTTTGGTTTCCACCTTTGACATTACTGTCTGCACCTAGAATTAACTGCCTGCTAAGCACATAACAAAAAACAGTAACATGATTGGAAAGTCCAAGTTATTCTATATAAGTTCATTACATTAATGCTCAGAAGATAAACCTTTTATGGCAGCTGTAAAGGAGATTAGCTCAGACACTAACTCTCAAAAATCAGGACAAGTTTATTTTTATTTTTCTATTTTTTAAGGCAGGATCTCACTTTGTGGGCCAGGCAGGCTTCTAACTCCCCATCCCTCCATCCAGCCTGGCCCAGCGCTGACAACAGACGCACACCACCCAGCTTTTTTTTTTTTTCTTCTCCAAATACTTTCAGGGCAGGTTTGGCTGGCTTGAGTTGTCGGGATGAACCACAGCAACCTGAGCCTGACTGCTTTGTTGAAGCAGCCACTGAAAGAACTGAGCTAAGGGGCAGGCCCCCACCTAGCTTATTTTCAGAGCACTCTTGTAATTACAAACATTCACTGTAGAAATTTTATTTATTTTTTTCATTGTAGAAATTTTAGAAAATTTAAAAGCTTAGCAAAGACAAATTTTAAATCACCTTTAACTTCACTACCCATGTGTGTATACTTCTGCTTTTGAAAATTCATATAATAATCTACATTTTTAATCTATAAAAGTTGACTTTTAGGGGCTGGTGAAGCGGCTCTGTGTTGGAGCCCTTCACTAACACAGTGCCTGCCTGGCAAGCATGAAGTCATGAGTTCGATTCCCAGTACAAAAAAAAAGATGTTAATGTCCAGTGGTCGAGCACTTGCCTAGCGCTTGCATAGGATGTGGGTGCAAACCGTCACCTCCTCCCCAGAATCTGACAGCTGAATCTTTTTATCCATTTTCACTTCACATCTCTTTACATAAATAAAGGTACATGTATATACAAGTACACTTATATATATTTTTAAATGAATACATATATTTCCCTGTATGTGTTAGAATGTGCTTAAACTTCAAATGAATTTTAAAGCCCCCACTGTTGGTATTTAGGTTGTCTCCAATTGCTCACCATGAAAACCCTTTTAAAGGGTTCCCCTTTTCTTCTCGGGTGTTATCACAAAAGTAACTTTGACACATATGCCCTCCCACCAAAATAAGCCCAATGATAATATGTTCCAGGCCAGCCTGGGCTGCACAGTGAGTTCAAAGCCAGCTTGAATTACAGAGTGAGACCCTGCCTCAACAAATAAACAAAAAACAATGATAAAACAACTATAAGCTGGTGTGGTGGCGCACGCCTATGATCCCAGCACCTGGAAGACTGAGGCAGGAAGATCCTTACAAGTCCAAGATCAGCCTGAGCTACAAAGCGAGCTCAAGGCCAGCCTGAACTGCGTAGGGAGACTGTTTCAAGAAGACAATACGAAACAAAAAAATCACCAGCTATACAACCCCGAGGAAACTCAGAATCGACCCCGACTTGAGCTTCGGCACTGCAGGAAGCCCTGTCATTATCTCCCAGGTCCAACCTGGTCGCGTTGTCTGTCAGGCCTCCCCGCCTGTCACTCACACGAAACCCTGTTTCTTTCTGCTTGTCTCCCGGGTGACCTTCCCATTCTCAGCTGCACATACATCCTGAGTGTGTAGGTGTGGGGGAAAAAAGGCACCTCCCTCCCAGCCCCCAACTGGTATTTCAAAAACACATGGGCCTTTATTTTGACAATTAAATTCCTGTTACTGCAGAAACTGTGTCCAACTCTACTTCCAGTGCTGGAAGCAGTCTTGATGACCAAAGCAGCACATGTTTTCTCTCAGCCCCAGCAAGCGGGTGTCACAGGGTTAAGGGCTTAATTCATTATTATCTCCCCATCCACATTCATCACAAGACACCCTGCCCAGGAAAGCAAGAATGAGAGGTTATTGTTAAGAGAGAATGAATGAGACAATGTGACCTCTGTTCCTCTGACCTGCCAGTGTGACCGAGGCAGGCACATTGTGACAGGGAGGGCTCCAGGGAGCCTCCACCAGTCCGGGCAGCTGCCACCTTGTGCTGTGAAAACTGAACTTGGCTCGGGGTCCTGCGGTCCCCTATTCCTGGCCCTCAAGCCAAGAGAACAGGCTGGCCCTCTGGGCTCCTGCGTTCCCTTACAGGCTGTCCTTTCCTATCCCGGTATTCCTTAGACTGGAGTCATGATCAGTTTTTTCTGCATTAAGTTATAAATTATGAAGAGCTTCTGAGAACAATGTGCCGTCTTAGAAGCCCCATCTACACACGCAGCGCAGGAAGACTCTCAGTTGCTTAGATCTAGTCATCAGAAGTTGATGAAAACTCTCAGTCATCCTGGTACACTAAGACAGGACCGCACGGGCCCCACCAAGAGCCACCCCACGCCACAGCACTGGGGAGGAAGCACTTCTGAGGTGTTGGTGGAAGGCAAAGGCGATCCTGCCCTCCGAGTCACCTACGCTTCCCCTGCAGCCACGCAAACGCATCCGTATTTCCCAGTGAAATCATATCTCTCAGAGTTGGTGAGAAAAACTTTTCTCAAAGATCAGAGCCAAGAGCCAGAAGAAAAGGCCTCAGAGGGAACCAGAATCCTTCTCTTGGGAGTTCAAAGTCTTGCTCTACCCACTAGCTTACAACAGGCATTTCAAGTGGAGGAGTTTCAGGAAGCTGCTGGAGGTCAAGAGGAGGGCAAGGTTTCTTGGTAGGAGTTGTTGTTTTGTTTTGTTTTTTTTCCATCACAACGCACACACAGGAACCCCAAAGTGAGGATGCCATCCCAGAGAGTACCCCAGGTTCCCTGGCAGACTCACTCTGCAGCCACTGTCTGGGGGATAGGTTCGTCGAGGAGCTCCAGGCTGTGCAGGATCCAGTAGCACAGCCACGGGCGGCTGGCATCCAGACACTGGGAGAGACGAGAAGAAAACACACCCCTCATTCAGTTACTCCAAAACGCTGCCAACCAGGCTGGGTCTGTCTCCCTCCCTCTAGCCTGGCCAGGGGGAGAGGAGCCCTTCCTTGGCAAATGGGGGTGCTTCACTCTGTGACCTTAGCCAGGAATGCAATGACCATCCATGAGAAAAGGAAAATGAGATTTTTGTAAGTTTTTTTTTTTTTATGTATTTGATGCAGGGTCTCACTACGCAGCTGGGGCTCATAGTGATCCTCCTGCTTTCAGCCTCCCGAGCGCTGGGACTACAGGCGTGCGCCACCACATCGGACTCCTTCCGGGCTCAGCGCACCCCGGGGGCAGGGCAGGAAAATGAGATTTTATTTTATTTTATTTATTTATTTTTTGGCAGAACCAGGGATTGAACTCAGGCCCTTGCGCTTGCCAGGCAAGCACTTATTCTACTGAGCCATCTCCCCGGCCCCTAATGAGATATTTTTTAAAAGTTTACTTTAGACCCAGTAAGTCCTCCCCAGCAGACATCCAGGGCTGAGCAGAGGACACTCCCAATGCAGGCAGTCTAAGGCCGCTCTCTGGGCAAGAGAGTTCATGATCAACACATTCTCATATCCAATAAATATTTGGTTACTACTTGCACCAACCACTGTGATAAGAAGATAATGAAAAGGAATTTGACTCTGATTCTGGAAATATTTGGGGTATATAATATGTATCATCTTAAAGAAGAGGGCTTCGGACAGTCACGTTAAGTACTAGTCACCTTGTGTCCTTCGGAACGTAATGCAGCAGCATGTCCTCCTATACAGATGCTTCTCACAGCCTTGAGGGCGCGCACGGAAGACAGTCACTCTGCCCGGGCAGCTGACAGTGGCTTCCAAAGGTGACACGTGGACAGACCTCAATTCCAACCCAAGGCCTACACAGTTACTGAGATTCAAGGCGACCCGAGCAGGTAGCTCCAGTTATATAATGAGGTCCAAGGACATTTTTTTCCAGTTTAAAAAAACAAAACTAAATGTCAAAACTGAGACAAGAATGTAGGTTTTAGGGACCAGGGAGATAGCTCAGTGGCTTAAGCACCTGCCTGGCAAGCGCAAGGCCCTGAGTTCAATTCCAGGTACTGAAAAAACAAACAAACAAAAAAAGGTGCTGACAGTCCAAACTGGTTAATGTCACCTGAGGCCGGGGTTGGTAGCCCCTGAAGACACTCCAAGCATTTGGGCTAAGCATGCATGGCAGTTCCTCTGCCCCCTAGCTGTGTGCCTTCGAGCAAATTACCTGACCTACGCCTGTTTTCTTCCCTGTAAATAATACTGCCCTAACTTGTGGTGTAACTAGAGGGTTAGGCAAGAGAATGCAAGGTAAGATTTTACAACAAGGCTCAATAGACTGGCAGCCACTATGGCATTAACTGTATCAGGCTGATGGACTGTTAAGGTTGGGATCTAAAATGGCTCCCAAAGTCTACTGTGTTCCGAAATGGGGTTTTAGGAAAATGATCGGATCATAAGGTCCCTAACCTCACCAAGGAATCAATCCTTTGACAAGTACACAGCTGAATGGGATATTAGGAGGTGGGGTCTGGGTGAAGAGGCAGGGCCTGGGAGCGAGGCCTCCAGCTATTCCCTTCCTCTCCATTTCCTGGATGCCGCCCGAGGAGCAGCACTCCTGGGCCGTTCCATCTGCCTTGGGTCCAGCCAACCATGCACTGAGGCCTCTGAAACCATAAATCAAAAGAAACATTTTTTTCCTTGGAGTTGTGTACGGTAGGGATTTAGCAATAGAAAGACGGCTAACACAGGACACTAACCAGTGTGGTTAGTGACTGGGGGACTGAAATTGAAACCTGAGAGGTGACAGGCCAGATCCAGCCTATGGATATGCTCTGCTTCTTTTTTTTTGAGTCAGGGTCACTATGCAGTTCCAGCTGGCCTTGAACTGACATAGCCCAGGCTGGCCTCAAATTCACAACTATCCTCCTGCCTCAGCCTCCTGAGTACTAGGATTGCAGGTGTGCAGCACCATGCTCAGCTGCTGGTTTGTTTGATTAAAATTGGTTTCAACATTTACACAAAAATTTTTTTAAAATGACATTCACTCAGAGTTGGGCTAACAGTGTTAAATATTAGGGGTGCTCTTTGGGGTTCATGTTCTGGTCCTCTGGCAAAGGAGGGAACTAGCTCAACTTAGTGCAGAGGACTGGGTTTGACTGGTAACAGACTTCCAGCTATGGAAGGGGTCAGGAGAAAGTGTAGGAAACCTCAGCTGTGATCTCAAGGTGGAGGAAAGCCTCACTCCATCAGATGGCCCCACTCACTCTAGGAGAAGACAAGACTGGAGAAGCCTGGCTCTGTCCCGGTCGGAAGTGGTGTCCCAGCTTTGTAATGGCACCCTGCCAGAGCCATTTGGTACGTGTGGATCTGCAGCAGGTCAGGCCCAACAGCATTTTCCATTCAAATGTGTGTGTGTGTGTGGGGGGGGGGTACAAAAAGAGAAGAGATAGAGAATCTGACAGAAAGAATTCCTGGGTAACATAGTTACCTCATAGGCATCAGTCAGCTGTCGAAGGCCTCTTTTCAGATAATGGAAGTGCTTCTCCCTCTGCAAAATAAGCCTGGAAAGACAAAGACCTTTAAGCCTGTTGTAGTAGGTCATGTTTCTCTTCACACAGGCACATGCACGCACATGCATGCGTGTGCACACGGATATACATGCATACGCAGCACCTATCATGTCTGTGGCTGCAGAGGGCAAGTACCTCAGCAGAAAAGAAGCCTGCGTGAAAGTCCCTGAGATGCGTGAATGCAGTGCTGGCCGACGTTCTGACGCTGAGCTAGCTGCAACTCGGCAGCAAGCACGACCTTGCCAGGCCGTGAGGGACCCCCAGGAAGTATCCAAGCAGGACAGGTGCCCTGTGCCTCTCCATCTGGTAAGCACCTGGTCAGCCACTGTCCTTCCCACCTTTTCCTCTGGAAGCACTCCTCTGAGATCTGTACTCGTTCCCCGCCTGCTCCTCATTCAGCTATTATTCCCTCCCAGAATTCCACCTCCCACATGCTGACCATAGCCCTGGCCAGGGGACAGTGTTTGCCTTCTGCAGCCAGCCACATCCTGGGCACTGAGGTCAGCGGCACTGGCTTTGGGATGGAATGTGCTGCCTGTGACACCCCCCTACCTCCCCGCACAGACAGAGAGTGCTACTTCTTGCCTGATGTAGCAAAATGGGCCTGTGTAATTATAGGAGAAAAAGGGGAAAAGCATTCAGACACCCCCTGTGCTTCCTGACTACAGACACAAAAGGGAAGAGAACCATCCCCTGTTCTAGGCAGGCAACTCAATTATTATTTATAGAACTCCCACTGCTCAAAAAAAAAAAAAAAAAGCCATCCTTGGGTGTGGTGGCCCTGCCTGTAATCCTAGCACTCAGGAGGCTGAGGCAGGAGGATCACTGTGAATTCAAGGCCAGCTTGGGCGACAAAGCGAGTTCAAGGCCAGCCTAAACTGTACAGCAACTGTCTCAAAAGATAAATAGGCTGTTAATGCAGTCTCCACCTTACCCTACTAATTCAGTAATGGAAATGAGACATGTACATAAAAAGCCACAAAAGAAGGGAGGAAATGAGCAGGTTTCAGAAAGAGGAAAAATAAAATAGTGCTGAGAGGGCTGGTGAGATAGCTCAGCAGACTAAGTGCCTGCTTAGGCAAGCACAGGGACTGGGGTTTGATCCCTGGTACCATGTCACACTGGCCCTAACCCCAGGGGCACCTAGCTAGCCACTGAGACCCGGCGTAGAGGCGCACACCTGTAATCCCAGTGCTGGGGAGGCTAAAAACAGGAGGATCACTATGAGTGTGAGCTGCAAAGTGAGACCCTTTACAAAATACATTAACAAAAAAAAAAAAAATAGTGCTGAGGGTTCAAAGGTGGGGGGAACTTTAAGTATGATCAGTGAAATTTGTAAGGAGGAAGCAGAATTTGAGGTGGGCAGCCCTGGCAGAGGGGAAAACTTTTAATTTTATTTTTAGTCTAAGCTGTAGGTAGCTGAGGGCCAGTGCAGCGTGCAGCACGGGCGTCAAGTGTACAAGAGGAGTGACTGTAGAGGGCTGGCTGGCCTCCACACAGGAGCCAAAGAGAAACTGCAGAAAGGGCAGCTGAGGCCTTCTACAGGGATCTGGGATGCAAGCTGAGGAATGCCTACTCAGTTTAGTAGGCAAAGGAAGCCCAGAAGGTATTTAGGCCAAGAAAAAAATGACCAGAACCGTGCTTGGAAAAAGAATCCGCTAGCAGCAGGTCTAGCGCATGTTTGCAAACAAGTTAGGGGGAAGCACTTGGGTGGGCAGGAAGCTGCACAGGAACAAGGGCAAGCGCTGAGGCTCTGTGAGGAAGTCTGAGTTGGACATGTGGTGCTGGGAGGCCCTGGGCTCTGAGCAGTAACTAGGGAGACCGCTGCCAGGGATCAACGCCTTCGCACTGCGGTGGGTTCTCGAGGGCGGGCTGCGCTAAAGCGAGGCTGCCCCTGAGTGTGTCTCTTCCCCAGGGGCTGCTTGTCCTTCTGCCCTCCACCCTGCAGTCGAGCAGGATGGGGCCCTCGCTGGAAGCAAAGCAGGTGCGGCCACCAGAACCAGAGCCATCATAAACCTCTTTACTTTGTGAATTTTTCTCATCTCAGGCATTCTGTGACAACAACAGAAAAGGGCTAAGATAACACAGTCCTCTCCTGAGGGGCCCAAATTAAACGTACAGGCTGCACATGTGTGTATCACTATAATATGATGTCTCTGATTCTTTGGGGAAATACCAAGAAGGGGGATAGCTGAGTCAAGTGAAATTGCTTTCTTTCCTTTTTTTTCTTCTTCTTCAGTACTGTAGTACAGGGTCTACAGGGTCTCATTACACAGATCAGACTCATAGCGATCCTACTATTTTCAGCCTCCACTGGGATTATAGGCACGTGCCACCATGCCCAGTCTGTGTTTCTTGTTTTTGTTTTTAGAATTTTTGAGGTAGAGCCTATTTGGTTTTGACTAGTCTTGAACTCAGTCAGGCTCAAATTTGCGGTGATCCTGCCTCAGCCTCCTAAGTGCAAAAATGCACTCCCTAGATCAGCTTAAATAAGAATTTAATGTTAAGTGAGGTCACAGGGTAGGGCTCCAGCCCCCCAAAACAGCGTTATTATGAGAGGTGGGGACACCAGAGAGATGCAAGGAGAGAGAAAGAGACAGAAAGACAGAGAGAGACAGAGACAGAGACGGACAGACAGACAACAAAAGGCCGTGTGAGGTGACAACAGGAAGGCAGCCACGTGCAAGCCCCAGAGACAGCCTAAGAAAAGGCAGTCATCAGGAAGACTTCCAGCCTCCAGAACCGTGAGGAAGTCAGTCTCTGAACACGTGGCCTTTCCCGAGGCAGCACAGGCCGACCACTCCTCTAGCACCGCCTTGCTGTCATCTACCTCTATCCGAATGTCTCTTCCAGATCGTCTGTTAAAGTGACAGCTCTTTCCCCTTTCCCTGAACAACTCAGCTTCAAAACCAATTAGGCAGGCTCTGTGGCGCACATGGGCATGGGTCTGTGTGAGCACACGTATGTACATGTGTCAGAGCACGAGTGCATGAGAAGGGAACCCACGTGGCTGTCTGGAGAGCATGGGATAGAGACCCTCAGGGGAAGCATCACGTAGGTGACATGTCCAGGCTATTGGAGGCACTCACAAAGGCGCATGCTATATGGCGAGGTGACTGCATTTCTCCGAGGGTAACAACGGGCTTCTGGACCCTTCACCACGGGCCTCACCCTTTTCCCTCCCAGCTCTTCCCAGGCTCTCTCTAGGCTCCACGCACATGGGCTTCCTCAGGCTCTGTCCCCACACACTGTCCCCTCTGCTTGGAACACTCTGAGCACCCTTAAATCAGCAGCCCTCCTAACCCCTTGGGTCTCAAATGTCCCTTCCTTGAGAGGTAGCCCAATATCCAGTCTCAGCTCAACCCTCCCTGTGACACTCCTGTTGGTCAAATGCACTCCTGTTCATCTGCTTAATGCCAGGAGCCCGAGCAGGGCAGGAGTGGGGCCAGCATAGAGCCTGGGCCTCTGCAGACCCTCTCCACAGAGTGCAGAATGAGCATAAAGAGGAAAGAGCCAGGGAGATGGCTCAGTGGAATAAGCGCTTCCCTGGCAAGCACAAGGGCCTGAGTTCAATCCCTGGTTCTGCCAAAAAAAAAAAAAAAGAGGAAAGAGCTCTAGGGATGCTGCAGAGCGGAACCAGAGCCAACACCTTTCCTCCAGTGTAGCACCATTGGTGGGCTATGACATGAGAGGAATTCTGTCCACTGCTGGCTCCCAGGAACTTTCTAACCCACTGAAGGTTGGGGCCTCAGTCAAAAAGCAAGCGTCAGACACATAATAAACCACTCGAGGCAAGGAGGATTCATCTGAAAGGAGCTTGAGAGAGTATCAATAGGAAAGAATATGTTTCCTAACTAATCAGGATGTGGAAGATTCTACAATAGCATTGTGCACAGAGTGGCAGAAGGCAGGGCCAGGCGTTGCCATGGGAGAAGCTTCGAGATCCTGAGCTGGAGCACACTGGGGCACTTTTGGCTCAGGGACCCTGCATTTAGCACTTTCAAGAAGTACTGGGTCATTTTTTCTGAACAGAAAGCAATTTAAGCAAATAGCTCAGTGGATTAAAGCACCAGCAAGCAGGCACAGGGGCTAGGGGTTTGATCCCCGGGCCTGCTGTGCCAGCCCCACCCCCAGGGTGAGCTGAGATGGCGATCAAGACTGGGTGTGGTGGCACCCGCCTGTAATCTAGCTCTTGGGAGGCTATAAACATGCAGATCACTACGAATCCAATCTATACAGTGAGACTGTACACCCTGTGTACTGTCCTAAATACAAAAAAATAAATAAAATAAAAATTATATGTGAAGGGCTGGGAAGATATCTCAGCAGTCAAAGCACCTGCTTAGGCAAGTGCAGAGACCAAGGTTCAATCCCCGGCACCACTTGCTGCACCGCCCCTGCCCCTGGGTGCGTTGAGCCACCAGAAACAGGTATGGTGGCATGCAACTGTAATCCCAGCACCAGGGAGCTTGAGATAAGAGGATCACTATGAGTCTGAGCTACATAGTGAGACCCTATACCAAATAAATAAGAAAAAAAATTAAATAAAATTATAAGTGAGTATGGATAACACACAGAAGTATGTGTGTGTGGTCTATACCTTTAAAATTTAAAGCTAATGATATAATGGAAAAGGGCAAACAAACCATAAGGTATAGACCAACAAGAATACCTGTGGCAGAGAAAAAAACTAACTTTCATAGGAAAGTAGGATGCTGACAAGCAAAGCAATTACAAGTATGACCAAAAGTTCCATGGCCAGGCATGGTGGTGCATGCCTGTAACTGCAGCACTTGAAGGGCTGAGGCAGGAGGATCATTGCAAGTTCAAGATCAGCCTGGGCTACGAAGCGAGTACAAGGCCAGCCTGAACTGCATCGTGAGAGTCCTTGTCAGAAAGAAAGAAAGAAAGAAAGAAAGAAAGAAAGAAAGAAAGAAAGAAAGAAAGAAAGAGCTAGCTCAGTAAGCTCCACAGTGCTGGGACAGCAGTGCAGTGGTAGATCGCTGGGCCCCACATCAAAAGCACCAGCGGCTCCTGGAGACCACCCCCACCAAGCTAGGATATGGTAAATACATTTCAGAGCCACGGAGAGGGGAAATCATTTCGGGGAAGGGGATTAACTACAGAATGCTCAACAGCTCCAGCCACAAATTTCAGCCCATTCTGCTGCTCAGCTTTGGCTCTGCAGGCTGAAGAGGACATCGGTACACCATCCTGGCCCTGTGCGCAGCTGGGGCCCCGGCAGGGTACGCGCTTCTGTCACATCCGATTGGCATCGGTGGCTCCAGAACACAAACTGGCCCCGCCCTCCAGATTTACCGCTACTGTGCGTATACGCACTTTAGCTGGCAGGGGAGGAGTGCTCCTGCGTTACAAATGATCAGCCTTTCAAGTTTTGACTACTAAAACATTAAATTTATGATAACAATTTGAGATTCTAATACATTTGCAGGTTTACTCTTGTTTGTTTGCAGCGTGCGAAATCAAAGCCAGGACCTTGTCCTCGCGCTGCAAGCTCACACCGCCGTGCGCCAGGTCCACACGCATCTTTACATCCCAGAAGTTCACCCTGTGATGATGCGTGGCGTCAGCCTTACATTAATATGCGGATTCACAGACACAGCTATTCAGCCAAAATACACAATATCTCTAATTTATTTATTTGGTACTGGAGATTGAACCCAGGGCTTCATACTAAACTACATTTCCAGAACACCACCACCCCACCTAGCGCACCCCATACACATTTTTTTTTAAGATTTATTTATTTATTTAGCTCGGACTCATAGTGATCCTCCTGCCACAGCCTCCCCAGCACTGGGATTACACGTGTGCACCACCATGCCCAGTTTCAGTGGCCAGCACGGTGTGGGGCTGGCACAGCATGCAATACCAGGGATTGAACCGGGGTCCTTGTGCCTGCCAGGCAGGCACTTAGATCACAGAGCTATCTCTCTAGCCCACACATACCTTTTAATTTTTTTTTTTTTTTTTTTAAGGAGCGAATCATACTAAGTTTCTACATTGCCCAGGCTGAGCTTGCCCTTGTGATCCTCCTGCCTCAGCTTCCTAGAGTGCTGATTACAGGCCTGTGCTACACATCTGCTGTGTCACTAATTTTTTTTTTTTTTTTTTTTTTGGCGGAACTGGGGATTGAACTCAGACCCTTGCGCTTGCCAGGGAAGCGCTTATTCCACTGAGCCGTCTCTCCGGCCCCCCATGTCACTAATATTAGCATATTTAAAATTCTCATTTTCATAGGCGTAAAATGGAAAAAGATAAAACAGAAAACTCGTATTCCTGAAGCAAACCCAGAAGCCTGGCTATATTCTACTTCCACGTTTTGCTTTTGCACCCACACCTGAGAGCAGACCTGTGGGTCAAGGGAATTTCCTCCTTGTTCGCTCTGCCCATAACAACCTCTTCCCCCAGGCTGCCACTTCTCTGTCTGTCTCTCCTCTGAGTGCAGGAGTGGAGGGGGTCTATTTTAATGGTGAGCAAAAAAGCAACTGCCACACGATCAGAGATCCACTGTGTGGGAGGCGTAGAGGATAGGTCCACCAGGCAAGTGACAGTGACTCAGAGCCTGTCAGGTGAGTCACCTGGGGGCGTGACTGCCAAAAACAAAGCCCCCCAAAGGACTACACTCTCTCCATGCCAGGCCTCAGCAGCACCAGCGAAACTAAGCACACGCAGCGTGTCCTGAACAGTGGAGGAAGCGCGGATGCTGTTATTCAATCTAAGAGCACTCACGCCCTCCGACTGTCGAAATAAACAGCAGCATTTGCTCATCCACCTGTGGTGTGTGACCAGAGGAATAGTGCATCTTCCTGAGTCCGAGTTTTGGGTTAAGGTAAAGGTTTGGTCCAGAAGGCTGCAAAAGGACTCGAGTTGGTTGCTATTTACCTCATTGCCTTTCCTAGGGAAGAAGATAAAGTCAACGTCCCACCTGTCTTTCCCTGTCCACGTTTGCCTTTTCCACCTGTTCTCAGTAGTGACTGGTTAGTAAAACAAAACAAAAACTAAGAAAATAATGGCAAAACAGAATGATGGCCAAAAAAAGGCAGGAGGGCATGAGCCATGCACAATACAGGGGCCAGGGCCTCAGACACAGCCCCAAGGGCTCTGGGGACTGGTGAAGGAGGTAAGGAAGAACTCGAGACCCTCAGCTCCCCAGCCAGAGTAAACCAGCGGCACCTCCCCACACTGGAAGTTGTCAAAGAGAAGTTGAGAGAGACAGAGAGACAGAGAGACAGAGAGACAGAGAGACAGAGAGAGAGAGAGAGAGAGAGAGAGAGAGAGAGAGAGAGAGAGAGAGAGTTTCTGTCATTAAGATAAAACGATGACCACACACAGTTCTGGGACACAACTCAACCGATGGCCGGACATAGCACAGGATGGTCTCAGAGAAATATTTTGACTAGAAGAGAAATAATTACCAAGAGAGGAAACAACTATATGACATTCGAATATGACACATTACAAAATACTGGGGGAGAGAGAAAGTAAATGTTCAAAGTAAAAAAATCTCTCCTGGGCTTGGGGATGTAGCCCTGGCCAGCCTTTGCCTCACGTGGCACAGGGGTCAGCCCTAAACGCTACAAAATAACTTGCAAGTTTCCCTTCTTTTAATTCCCTTTTTTAGAATTTCTTTCTTCTTCCTCTTCCTCTTCCTCTTCCTCCTCCCCC